CTTCTTGCTCCACAGTTGTCTGATCCAGCCCTGGTAACCCATTCCCAAGTCCCTTCTCTCCTTCACCCCCATCTGGAGCATATCATGCCTCCCAGATCCCATCTGAACCCTCAGTGGCGCATTGGGGCATCTGTGCAAAGAAGGCATGGCAGTACCTGCCTGGCCCAGCCCAACTTCCCAGGGTCTCCAGGAACCTGGAAGTGGGAAGCATGGGGCCCTGGAGGGCTCCATAGTGTGGGTCCCTGGCTGGATTCTGTTCACGGTGGCCTCCGTCAGCCTCCCCTGACTGTTCTTTTCAGGTCAGCACCTTCTGGTTTGGGTGTGGAATCCATGCAGGGGAGCCTGCCCTTCTGGCCAAGGAGCCTCATCCTCCTCGGGAATGGCAGGTCTCCACATGGGTCCTCTGGGGGACAATCTGCCAACACTCCTGCTGGGAAGTCTGATTCCTCTCATTGGCAAGGTCCCAGGGAGCACACCACTGATGGCTTTGCCACGCTATCTCTCTGAGCCTCAGAGTCCTGGCTCTTAGTAATAGCTAACATTATTGAGCGCTAACTATTGTCGGTGAGACTTTGACTCGCTTTGGACACATCATCATCAGGAAAGACCAGTTGCTAGCAAAGGACATCATTTTTTGTAAAGTAGAGGGCCAACAAAAATGAGGGAAACCTTCAACGAGATGGATTGACACAATACCGCAGCAATGGACTCAAACATACCAATGATCATGAAGATGGTACAAGAGCCGAGCAACATTTTGTTCTGTTGTACATAAGTCTCCATCATTAGGAGCTGACTCAATGGCAACTAACAACAACAACAACTGTTATTATTATCACCATTATTTGTTCATTAGTTTATTGAATCATGAGAAAAGGAATTTCCTTCCCAGAAAACTTTTTAAAACAATCTTTTGAAAAGAACTGGCAATAGTATGACTTGATGTTGGTTGAATTTTTTTTTCTTTTTTTGTATTATAAGATTAAATTTTTCCTTATGCTGCAGAAACTCAAACCACATAGGGCAGAGAGGAGGGAAGTCGAGATTTAACACTGCTGAGGGTGAGAGCGTCAGTTAGGGTGATCTTTCTGGAAAGCAGTTTGGCAGAATGTAATCAGAGCCTGTAAATGCATTTCACACTCTTGACTTTGTAATGCCACTTCTAGAAATCAATGGATGCCAAGGAAATAACCCAGAATCAGAGAGTCGTGCACCATGATGTTAATTGCAGCATTATTCATAGTGATCAAGAATGAGAAGCATCGTAAATGCGCAGCGGGGAAGGGTTGGAGGAGTTACTAGGATGGTCCATATGCTGAAATTTTATGTAGCTATCCATCAAAAACTGGCTTTGTGAAGAGTTGTAATAACATGTTTCAACAATAAATCACAGTGGAAGAATACAAAATTATTTCACAGGATGATCTCAGCTCTAATTGAAAAGAGGCCCATGGAGGAAAAGAATTAAAAGGAATATGCTCACCCTGCAGTAGTGTTTTCCCAAGGACGTTTTCCTTGCTTCCATACTTCTCCACTGTTTCCAGCTTTCTTGTGATGAACGTGTATTAATTTTATATTTAACAAATAAAGAAAAAAATTAACCTTTCAATGTTTATGTAATTCTATGGAATAAATTACAGATTTTTTTAAAGAATAGGATATACATTTTTTTTATTTTATTGTGCTTTAGGTGAAAGTTTACAGCACAAATTAGTTTCGCAATCAAAAATCTATACAAATTGTTTTATGACATTGGTTGCATTCCCTGCAATGTGTCAGCACTCGCCCTTCTACCCTGGGTTCCCTGGGTCCATTTGTTCAGTTTTCCTGTCCCTTCCTGCCTTCTCATCTTTGCTTTTGGGCGGGTGTTGCCCATTTGGTTTTGTAGACTTGGTTGAACTAAGAAGCACGTTCCTCATGTGTGTTATTGTTTTATACGCCTGTCTAATCCTTGGCTAAAAGATGGGCTTTGGGAGTGGCTTCAGTTCTGAGTTAGCAGGGGGTCTGATGGTCATAGTCTCGGGGGTTCCTCCAGTCTCTGTCAGACCAGTAAGTCTGGTCTTTTTTTGTGAATTTAAATTTTGTTTTACATTTTTCTCCCTATTCTGTCTGGGACTCTCTATTGTGATACCTGTCAAAGTGGTCAATGGTGGTAGCTAGTTCTTCGGAGCTCAGGCTGGTGAAGGCTGTAGTTTATGGGGTCCATTAGTCCTTCGGACTAATATTTGCTTGTGTCTTTGGTTTTCTTCATTCTCCTCTGCTCCGGATGAGACGGGACTGATAGATGTATCCTAGATGGCCTCTCACAAGCTTTTAAGACCACAGACACTACTCACCAAAGTAGGACGTAGAATTTTTTTTTTTAAATTAACTGTGTTATGCCAGTGGCCCTAGATGCCCCCCTAGACCATGGTCCCCAGCCCTCAGCCTTAGTAACTCAGTCCCTCAAGGTCTTTGGATGTGTCTAGGAAGCTTCTATTGCTTTGCCTTGGTCAAGTTGTGCTGACTTCCCCTATATTGTGTCTTGTCTTTCACTTCACCAAGGTTAACGCTTGTCTACTGATAGTGATTTCCCCTCCCCACCCCTCCTTCCCTCATAACCATCAAAGATTGTTTTTTTCTGTGTGTAAACCTTTTCTTGAGTTTTAATAATAATGGTCTCATACACAATTTGTCCTTCTGTGATTGACTTATTTCACTCCGCGTAATGCCCTCCAGATTCATCCACTTTGTGAGATGTTTTGCGGATTCATCATTGTTCTTTCTTCTTGAGTAGTATTCCATCGTGTCTATGTACCATAATTTGTTTATCCATTCATCTGTTGATGGGCACTTAGGTTGTTACCATCTTTTTGCTATTGTGAAGAATAGGATAATTTTAAAGGAAAGAATGATCATAATTTAAAACGCAATAAAATGGGCTTCTTTGCCTTTTTAAGCAAGAATGTTCCTTAGAAGTGAGGATGGTGAAACTTCAACTCTCTTTCTTTGGACACATCACCAGGAAAGACTAACCACTAGAAAAAGACACCATGTTTGGTAAAGATGAGGGCCAGCGAAAACGAGGGAAACCTTCCACGAGATAGATTAACACAGTAGCTGCAACACTGAACTCAACATACCAACCATGGTGAAGATGGCTCAGGACCAGACGATGTTTTGTTCTGTTTTACGTGGAGTCGCCAAGGGTTGGAACCCGCTCATCGGCAACTAACAACGGCAACTGTTTGCCTTTATTACAGAAAAAGTGTTAAACATAGTTTGTTATACTTTGAACAGGAGGAAATAGCTTAAAATAATTTTAAAGAATCTTTAAAACAAAAGAATGCCCATGTATCGAGGGCTTAGTCCAGATTAGAGCCAAGCGTTTTACAAACGTTGTCGCCGTTGTACCATCCGGGGCCACGGGGGTCAGAGAAATTGAGTGGCCTGTCCCAGGTTGCACAGCCATGAAGGCAAAGTCAGGGTCTCCACATCCCAAGGTGCGGTGCCCCATTGTTGCTGATTGACTTAGGCTCTGCTGTTACTAATCTGCTGGCCTGAGAGGCGTTGGGAGGGGATGACACCTGAATGGAGGAGCAGAAGACCAACTGTGCTTGGCCTTGATATTCCTGGTGTCACCTGACCCAAGAGGTGCGTCTGCACCCTTCACTCAACCGAGGAGTAAAGTGAGATTCAGAGAGGACGAGGGCTTTTCCTGGGTCCCCAGCTGGGTGAGAGTCTGATGCCGTGGCTCCTGCAATCACTAATGCTGGGGGAGACCCTTCTGCTCTCACGGGAACACTGATGTCCTTATAGGAACCAGGCCTGGGAGTCCACTCTGTGGGCTGGTCTGAGATGGCTGGTCTCACACATTGTCTCTTAGGGAAGCAGACTTTGTCTGCGTGATGAGCACCGCTGTCCTGACACAGGCAGATAATGTTACTAGTACAATACGACAGTGTGCCCATTTCCTAGAGCTTCCCTAACAGAGAACCACAAGCCTGGTGACTTAAAACAACAGAAAGTTATTCTGTCACAGTTCCAGAGGCCAGAACTCTGGGATCAAGATGCTGCATTCTCTCTGAAGGCCCTGGGGAGGATCCTTCCCCGCCCCCTACGGCTTCTGGTGGCTCCAGGCTTCCTTGACTTGTGGCCGCATCGCTCCAGTCTTTGCTTCTGTCCTCACCTGGCCATCTCCCCTGTGACCCCGTCTTCTCCTCTTTGTGTCTCTTACGAGGACACTTGTCATTGGATTTGGGGCCCACCTGGGTAATCCAGGATGATCTCCTCATCTCAAGATCCTTAACTCAATGACATCTGCAAAGACCTCTTTTCCAAATAAGGTCTGGAAATCGCAGGCTCCAGGGCTTAGAATGTGGACATAGCGTCTTGGGGGCCACCATTCAACCCACTACAAACAATTTGGCAGTGAAAATCAATTTTTTACATATGTGTGTCTGTCAGTCTAGAAGTTTCATTTCTTAAACTCTATCCTAAGAAATACGTGCACACATGATCGGAGAGAGACATTAGGAGTCATCACTGCGGCTAAAGGCTTCCGGGAGCTGTAGTGTTGATCACTGGGGGAAAGGTGCTGTCCCTACTCAAAGGAAGACAATGCAGCTGTTAAAAAGCCTGAAGTAGAATCTCTGTAGTAACATGGGAAGCTCCTTGGACATACTGTAAAATGAAACGAGAGAGTCAGAAAGCACCTCCCAGTGCTCTAGGGAAATATGCAAAAAACCCACGTGTGGCACAGGACTTGGGATGGGGGTAGGGTACAGGAGTTTCACACTTTAGATACTTCTGGAATGTTTGCACTTTTTATAGCAGTCGTATAGCAGGCTTGGGTGCGTGCTTGCCCCACTTTCGTAATCTTACAAAACAGGGAAATGCACTGAAGGTTTCTGAATGTTTCTCAAGCAGTGCATTGGAGCTGCCGGCTGGCGCCGTGTCCCCGGCCCACTTTGTGGCATGGGAAGGCAGCGTCTCAGCTACTTTCTCCCTTTCTGTTCCAGGACAACGTACTGAACATTATTAACCAGATCATGGACGAGTGCATCCCCCAGGACCGGGCCCCGCGGGACTTCTGCGTCAAGTTCCCCGAGGAGATCCGGCACGACAACCTGGCTGGCCAGCTGTGGTTCGGAGCCGAGGTAGTGGGGGCGTGGCTGCTGGTCGCGTGGTGCCATGTCTCTGAGTGATGCCCATGTGTGCCTCGGACACGTGTGCCCACGTGCAGGTTTCCTCCTCCAAGAGTTCTGTGTGCCACTGGTTTACGCTCCCCCCTTTCCACAAGAAAGCCACAGGCTCACTCCCCCAGAACTGCGTAAAACTGCAGGTGCAAATACAGACACACAGGTTCACCTGGGACTTTTGTGAGGTTCTCAGGCCCCTGGAATCCAGGGCCTAAAAGTGTTTCTCAGCTCAGGATGTCTATGGAAACTGTTTATACCAGGATACTTCCAGCTCCTGTGGAGTCGACTCCGACTCACGGCGATTCCACGTGTGTCAGAGTAGAGCTGCTCCATGGGGTTTTCAAGGCTGTGACGTTTTGGAAGCAGATTGCCAGGCCTCTTTTTTTGAGGCACCTCTGGGTAGATTTGAACTACCAACCTTTTAGTTAGTAGCCCAGTGCTTGTTGTTGGGTGCTGTCCAGTCCATTTTTGAATCGTATTGACCCAATGTGACGGAATAGAACTACCTCATAGGGTTTTCTAGGCTGTAACCTTTACAGGAGCAGATTGCCAAATCCTATCTCCTGCGGAGCCACTGGGTGGGTTTGAATCATCCACCTTTTGGTTAGCAGCTGAGCGCTTAACCGTTGTGCCATCAGGGCTCCTTAGCCCAGAGCTTGCCCAGCTCTTAACCGTTTGCACCATCCATGTTCTTAGGAGCAATAATACTAATCCCAGCAACAAGGGCCCCTCCCCCTCCACTGGAGCGATAACAGCAGGAACGTTCAGTCTCACCCCTGAGATGCCGGGGAGCCATGCCCACCACCCAGGTTATCCTCACAATAACCTGGGAGGTCTTTATCTTCACCTCCCAGCACCACCCCCGGACGGGGGAACCAGCCTCGCCCCTGCCCGGGGGTTTTCTGTGCCCACCCCTTGCGGATGCCCCAGCTCCTCCCCTTGGCGAGCTCCAGTGTGTTAAGGGACTCGAGGGCTCATGCTGCTGAGGGCGTCTGTCACCCCCTCTTACTATGCCGCATCCTCCCTGCCTCCCCATGGGGAATCCCTGGAATGCCCCATCCTCGCCCGGTGCTGCCCGGCCTCTGGAAGCCACGCTCGCACCTCCACCCCCCCACCCCATCTGCCCCATCCCTGCGCCCACCCCACCCCACCTCCACCACGGTTCTGGTTGTTTGTGGGTGGCCTCAGCAGGTTATCCTCTCTCCGAGCCTCAGTTTCCCCTCTGTAGAGTGGGGTCGCAGGGATGCAGGATGGCTGTGGGGAGTCGTGAGAGGGTGCAGCGTCACCTCTCTGCGGAAGCCTGGCCTGAGCACGTGGGCACGGGGGCTTCCGTGAGCTCGGCCCTCCCCTCTGACACTCCAGAAACCGCTTCTTGTCCACCTCTTCTCTTGACTGCCCCCCATGGGGATTGAGGGGCGACTGGTTTTGCCACATGCCTGGTGAACAGGTGGGAAGGGACTAGGAAAAGAGCGGAAACACCCCGCAGGCCAGTGCAGGGGCCAGAGAGCAGAGTCTATAAACGTCCCCCCATTACTGAGCTCTGAGCTGAACAGCTGTGACCCCCATGGCCCTTCATGACAGACAGGGGCGGGGGTGAGGGGTGTGCAGAGCTACGTGTGCAGGCACGGGGTGTTTTCCGAAACTGCCTTCTAGATCCAGTGGATTTGTGGCTGCAGAGGGGCCCTGTAACCTGCCTAGGAGCCGAGGGCTCCCCTGCTGGTGCGTCTGGGCTCTTAGGCAAGTCAGCTTTCTCAGAGCTGTGAGTATCTGACACAAGCTGACAGAAAGGTGGGCGCCCTCGGGGAGCCCCGGACCAGCCCTGCCGGCCATGCGCCAGGACCCCAGCCCCTGAACTCCCTGATAGCCATCCCACATGGACAGGGAGTGGGCAGAGGTCACGTAACGGGGGCGTGCTGGCCTCCTGTGTGGAGCCCCCCAGACTCAAGGGCCTTATCTCAGCCCTGCTCCCCTGGGGCCAGGAGGGACATGGCAGCCTCAGGCCAAACAGGCAGAGCCATGATCGCTATAAATCAGAGAAGCCATTGGAGAGGGGACCAGGAGGGAGCGGATGCCTGGACCCCAGAGACCCCTGCCCCAGGATGGAGAGTGTAGGTGGTGAGGGGGGGCTTCTGGAGAGAGGGTCTTGGGGGATGAGGACCACATCGACGGGGGTGCCCTGGCCCAGCCCTGCCCCTCGGCCTCTCTCCTCACTCGGTCTCTCCCCATTCTGCCTGGCTTTGGCAACCAGAACTTTCTCCCGGGACGGGGCCTTTCTCGGTGTTTGCTAACCGTGCCAGGACTCCCCACTCCCTCTGCAGAGCAGAGGACACGCGTGGGGTGAGGGATGTGGCCTGTGACCGTCTGGGTGTGGTAGCCGTGGATCCTGTAGGCCGGCGTGGGCGTCTGTCCGCGTGGCCCTGACCTGTGCCCTCCCGCCCCAGTGCCTGGCCGCCGGCTCCATCATCATGAACCGCGAGCTGGAGAGCATGGCCATGCGGCCGCTGGCCAAGGAGCTGACCCACAGCCTGGAGGACGTGCGGAGCGCCCTGCGCGACCAGGCACTGCGCGACCTCAACGCCTACACGGAGAAGATGCGGGAGGTGCTGCGCCACTTCGACGTCCTGTTCGCGGAGTTCGAGCTGAGGTGACGCAGGCCACACGTGGGTCTGGGTGCAGGGACCGCGTGCGTGGCCTTTGCTCATGAGTCGGGCTGCGGGGGGCTCTGGGGACTCGTTCTGATATTTCGAGTCAGAGCATTCCCCAGGGGGAAGAGCCGAGCCTAGGTCAGGGCTCCATGCGGAGCATGTGTGAGGTCTGAGGACTTTTCCAGGGAGGGTGTGTCCCCAGGGCTAAAGGAGACCCAGGTGTCCTACCCAACCCCATCTCTGCCCCTCCTGACACACCTGGGACGTTCCTGCAAGTCGAAGTCGGCCACAGTTGGTGCCCCTGTCACCCTTGAGCTGCCTGCTGGCCGCTCCCTCTGGCCTCTACCTCTGACCTCCCACCTCTGGCCTCCACCTCTGACCTCCATCCACCTTCTGCATTCATACCTCATCTTTCCCCAGCTCTTCCTCTACATCATTTAATCATTCATTCTATAATACCTGCCAAGCTCCTTCTTTGTATGCTGGCATCTGGGGGCACCTCAGCTCCATGGGACATGGGATACGGGGCACAGACCCCATGGAGAGGGGGTCAGGATGGCTCACATGGTACCCCCCACATCCCACACACACACATACATACCCCATACATATCCACACCACACTCATACACATCACTCTTCACATGCTCCCACATACACCCCAACACACATACATTCCCCCCCACATACACTCACCACATACATGCCACACACACACACACACACACACACACACACACACACAGATTACACACACCCCACACATACACTCACCGCATATGTTGCCACACACGCATACACCCCCACACCCCCCCACACGCAACTCACATACCCCACATATACACACCCCACATACACACCCCACACCCCACACATACACCACCACATACACGTACCCCACACCCCACATAGACATACCCCCCACATACACACATCACATACACAACACACTCATACACACACCATATACACACTCATACGTGCACACACACACCATCCATGCACACATGCACAGACACACACGTCAGTGTCACTGGTCTCCATTGGGGGTCCACCCACTTTGTGCTCGTGTTCCCTCCTCCCACTGCTTGCCGCCCACCCGGGGAGCTGCTGTTGACCCTTCAAAAGGCTGGAGGCCACCTTCCTCCTCCACATCCGCACAGGGGCACCCTGCTCCGTGGTCCCAAGGGGCAGGGCAGAGCCCAGCGGGCCTGGCGACCATGGCCTCCACGGGGAGTGCCTTTGGGGAGGCCTAAGACGAAGGGGGCCAAGCACCGGCAGAAAAGGCAGGACACAAAGTCCAGATCCAGGGTGGCCCCAACTAATATCAACTGTCCACTTTGCCATCTTCCTGCTGCCAGCCGGAAACCAACCAGCGCCCACAGCGATTCTCTCTGGGGTGGGATTATGGAAGCTGAGTTTTAGTCCTTCTTTCAACTTTCCTGTCTTTCGCGGATTTTCTGGAATGAGATTTCATAATGAGAACAATTAGAGTTAATTTAGAAGGAAAAGAATGTTCCCATCTGGACAATGCTTGGGCAAACCCATTGCTTTCTGAGTCCAGCTCAGTGGACGTTTTGTGAGCGTGCCCTGTTTGCCCGCCCTGAGCTGACTCCGGGACAGCCCTGCCCACGGTGGGGGCTTATCCATTCACTCACCCACCCACTTGCCGAGGCTGCAGTCCAGGAGAGGACAGCCATGTAACGGGCAGTCTTGGTTCCGGCCGGCAGGGCTGAGACGTGGTTGGGCTGTGGGGCTGGAGGAGGCCCGACTTGCCTGTCCCTGGGGAGGAGCTTTAGTTTTAATACACATCGTAATGTGGGAAGTGTGTGTGTGTGAAACTGTTAAAGTGGGTGGTCTTGGTGATCAGCGTGATTCGATTTGGTTTAACCTGACGTCTTGGCGTGTGTCCGTAGCTACGTCTCGGCCATGGTGCCTGTGAAGTCCCCCCGGGAATACTACATGCAGCAGGAGGTCATTGTCCTGTTCTGCGAGACGGTGGAGAGGTGAGGAGCGGACGGGCCCACCGCCAATGGGGTGTGTCGGTGCTGGGGGCCCTGCTTCTCCCTGCCCCACTCCAGGCCTGTGGGAGCTGAGGCTCCCCTAGGGGGTGACACGAGGACCCGCAAGTGCCTCCGTGCCCACCATCTCTGCCTTCTCCCCAGTGGGTTCAGAGGGGACAGGCCCTCCAACCTGCCCAGCCTCAATTCTTGGCCCCACAGACCCTTTTCTCTGGCCCCAAGGGCGGGTCCCACAGATGAAGATCACGCATCAGCGAAGGATGGGCCCTTCCTCCTCACTTCACTTCTATACCCCTCCCCTATTCACTTCACCTCCTCACCTGTTCACTTCACCTCCTCACCTGTTCACTTCACCTCCTCACCTCCACCCATCCACACCACCTCAGGTCCACTGCTCACCTCCTCACCTGCTCACTTCACCTCCTCACCTCCACCCATCCACACCGCCTCAGGTCCACTGCTCACCTCCATGCCTCCTCACCTACTCAGTCCCTCACCTCCACTCCTCCACATCTCCATACCTCCACTCCACACCTCCTCTCCTCCTCACCTGCTCACTTCACCTCCTCACCTCCACGCTTCCTCACCACATCACCTCCCTGGAACCGTCACTGCCCATTATGTCACTGACTGACTTCACCTCCTCAAATATTTACTTCATCTCCACTCCTCCAGTCTTCCACACTTCCTCACCTCCTCACCCCCTCACCTCCTCACTTCCTCACCCCCTCACCTCCTCACCTCCATCCCCCTCACTTCCACAGGCCAGGATGGGGCACTTGCCAGATTTCAGGTCTGTGAAGCAAGGTTTTGAGGGTGAATTATCAGTATTCTCACCGGGTCTGTACAGCCATTTGAAGTCAGATTTCCTCAGTGGACTTTGGGGCTAAGATTCAACCTAGAATGTTTTTCCAATTTGATTAGTGCGATGGTCTTAGATTTGTTCTGAGGTTGCCTATTATCACGTCATAGTTTGTTATTTTTTAAAGACAGATTATTCCCTGTGTACGCTTTGGAAGATCTTTCACATTGTCAGAAAATAAGCTGACAGAAAATAGCTTTTGTGTTGAAAAATTGCGATGCTGTAAGCGCCTATGGGGGAAGGCATTTGTGTGCCCAGGGAGCAGAACGATTCCCAGAGAGCAGGTTCAGCTTCTCAGGGAGGTGGTAGATCACGTGGGCAGTGTCTGCCTTCACGTTCACTCTCGATGCTGGGTGGTTTCTGTTTCCTGGCGGAGTGAAGCCCTTGATGGGTCATCTCTTACCCTGTGTGGTTGGACGTCCTGCCTCGGTTTCCTCAGTGTCTCATCAGCTCCCCCAGCAAGCACAGGCTTGGCCCGCTCCCTGCTTTTTCCCTCCCTTCCTGGGGCAGGGGCGGGGTCAGGCAGGTGGAAAGATGGGGAAGGTTAAGTGGAAGATTCCAGAATGTCCGAGCAGCAGCAGCCATTTGTAAATGCCGCCCTTGTCCACTGAGTGACTTGTCCACTGAGCATGGATCAGGTGCCGGCTGAGCGTGCTGGCTCCTGACACAGGTCTGCACTGTGGACACAGGAGGGCAGGCAGGCCAGGATGGCCCTTCTCATGGTCTGTCTTCCTCGGCCAGAGCCCTGGACTTCGGTTACCTCACCCAGGACATGATTGATGACTACGAGCCGGCCCTCATGTTCACCATCCCCAGGCTGGCCATTGTGTGGTGAGTGTCCCTCCTGCCTGGGGCCGTCACCTTGCAGATACCTGGCAGGATTGTCCCACCTCAGCCTGGTGCTGCCTGGTCCCCTCTAGGTGCTGACACGTGGTATTTGCACCCCTGGGTGGGTGGGTGGCTGGCTGAGCAGTCCCCAGCCAGCCTGCTGTCACCCTTCAGCAGATCAGGAAGCGAGGCGGGGGCGCCAGGTGCTCAGGGGCCTGGTCCACTGTTGCTTAGCCACACCCTGACTCCCAGCAGGGCCGCCTTCCCTCTACGGATAAAGGAGTGTTGGTGGGATGGTCACAGAGGGAGGGGGAGGCACAGGTGGGCCGTGGGGTGCTGCATGGAGGGGCCTGGGGGCCTGCGGTGGACAGGCAGGTGTGGAGCTGGGCAAAGAGTAGGGGCTGGGTGTCCTCATCTTTGGACACCAGTTGGAGATGTGGATGCCAACGAAGTGGCTTGGGAGGGTGCGAGGTGGACACGGGGGCCAGGACTGGTCTATGCACAGGTGGTGGAGAGGCCCCCACAGAGGGCCGAGGGGAACCCAGAATGCAAGTGTCACAGCAGAGCCGTGAGGACCAGCACTGGACCCTCTCCTGGGAGATAGGGGTGAGACCCCAGGTGCGGTGGGGATGGAGCAGCAGGACAGGGCGGGCTTCAGCCTGCAGGGGGACAGAGTGCTTCCCTCATCAGCCGGGACATGTACCAGCCCTGAGCTGTGTGCTGGAAGAGGGTGAGGGCAGGGTTGGGGTAATGGGGTGGGAGCCCAGACACAGCCCTGGGCAGGGCCAGCCACAGCTTCTCTGCCCGGGAGGCTGTCTCCTTGAAAGGCCAGGCAGACCTGTTTGCCTTGGGAAGAGCTAGCGGACTTAGGAGGAGAACAAGTCCTCCCACAGAGAAGGGCTGCAGAAACAGGAGCTCGGAGGCTGGAATGGGATTTTGGAGGTGCTGAGCCAGGGCAGCCTTCAGACATATGGGCTCTGGCCCCTGGTGTCTCCCTGGGTTTAGGAGTGAGGAAGACACGTGGCACCTGGCCACCTGCTCACGCCCCTGCCCGGCATCTGCGTGCCAGCTTTGCCACTGAAGGGGTTTGTTCATCTTCTGGAGGGGTTTCGGGGGCCAGGCCTTTTGTCCTTGAGCCTGGCTCATTGCTGTGGCTTTTCCCTTTGGTCATTTTCCTCTTTGGTAGAAAGTTGTGTCTCCTTTCATGAAGTGAACAAATCAGGAAAAGTAGGAATAGGTCATGTCACACCGCAGGACGACCCTTTAAAATCCCCTTCGGCTGTCGGATTTGAGAATTCTTCTTCACCTGAAGATGGAGGAGTTGGAGGGCAGGGGTCCCCAGCGGGTGAAGCATCCTCAGGGTGGGCGTCCCGCACCTCACCCGCATCCCTGTCCCCTCTGATGGCGTCCACATGATTTTGTTACATTACGTTCTTTCCAGGCAAATGTCTCTCCAGGGCCCTACTAAATTTGAAGAACATGATGACTATTTTGAGTCCTTACCTTCTCTTCTCTTTGCTTTTAAAGAAAAGTCTATGTATAATAATAATTATGATTATTTTTAAATATAATAATAATAACGTAAAACTGCTTCCTTCCGGGCCCTTGCTTCTCATGGGGGTGTCTGCGCCTTTCCTGTGGTGCAGGCTACCTGCCCTTTGTCCCGCCGGCCCTGCAGTTCTGAGACCCAGAACTTCCTGTAGGAAACACACAAGACTCTGCCTGGCCCTATTTCTGTATGTTCCCACCGAGGTGTTTCCAAAGTGTTCCTCTTATCCCCTGAAGGCACCCCTGGGTGGTGCAAATGGTTAAGCACTTGGCTGCTAATCGAAAGTTTGGAGGTTTGAGTCTACCCAGAGACGCTTGGAAGAGAGGCCTGGGGATCTACTTCTGAAAAATCAGACATTTAAAACCCCATGGAGCACAGGTCTGTTCTGACATTCATGGAGTCGCTGTGAGTCAGAGCTGACACGACAGTATTTTAAAAAATACAGTATTTATAGTATTTGTAAATAAATAAGGAGTATTATTGGTAAATAATAACAGTGAAATATTTACTGAAGTATTATATGTAATCATAAAAATTTGGAGGTGGGAATCCAGAATAAGGGAACTGATTAAAAATGAGACTTCAGTCATTAGTGTTAGCAGAGAAGAGTCCCTAATTCCATGGAAAACTGTTCTGGATATATTAAGTACAAAAAAGTTGTTACAAAATAGTATGTCTCTACCTTATAAAATTTCTTAACATGATAAGTATGACTTTTATAAACAGAAGTCAAAGCAAAAACTGTTATTTTAAAAAAGAGAAGACTGGCCGCATGCCCGTCTATTGGGGGAGCCCCCCCCCGCCCCGCCACCAGCAGGACCTGGGCCAGGCCCCTCCCTGTGCGCTCCACATGCCCCGTCCACATCCGTGCTGGGGCTCCCGGACTGCCACCCCCTGCTGGCTCAGCTGTGTGGTGCTGCCCAGCCCCTCCTGAACAGCAGCAGCATGAACATGGCCTTGTGGCCTGGGACTGCAGGACAGTTGGATCCCCTGCCCTGTGGGCAGTAGCTTCGTGGGACCCAACCGCTTCCTTTGACCGTGAGGGTGTCATCAGAGCGTCATTCTCCCAGCCTCCCACTAGCTCCCAGCCAGCTTCCTCCCAGCGCTGGGCCTTCCAGACCCCGACCGTGGTGTGGCCAGGTTGCTGTCCAGGAACTCCCCTCACTGGGCCAGTCAGCACTGAACAGACATTGCTGAGCACCTACTGTGTGCCAGGCCTGGGTCCTGAAGACCAGCCTTGTCCTTGGGGTTGCCCGGCCTGTGGGGATATGGACAGCTGGGCTGTCCACCTGCCTTCTCTGTGTCCCTCCTGAGCAGTCAGGGGGACTTTCTGGACCTGCTGATGCCGCCACAATGGGAGTGGGAGGGCCACGCCCCGAACGTTCCGGCACACGGGTGAGACATGCTACTGGATGCTGGTTAAAGCTGAGGGGTCATCCTCAGGCCCCTTGACTGCCCACACAGAGGGCTGGGCTGTGCACTAAGCCCTCACCATTGTGCTTGGAGGCTTCAGCTGCTCTGGCACCAACAATAGACCTATTCATGGGCTGGGCTGCGTCTCGGTGCCTTTCCAGGCTTGGCATGCAGGATCACCCGAGGCCCTTTCCCTGCACTGCCTGGGTAGCCTGCTCTGGGGCGTGCCTGCCCTCGGAAACACGGCGTCCAGTGGGGCGTGAGGCTGGTCATTGTAGGCCTGCCTGACTCCCGAGCTCAGCAGTGGGGGAGCTGGTATGCAGGGTCACGGAGGTGGACCCAGCCCCTTACCGCTGCTTCAGAAAGATGAGATTGCCCAGAAGTCGGGGCAAAAATGCACCAAACTTGCCCATTTTCTATCCATTTTCATTCTGCCTTTGTCTTCAGACTGCCTTAAAAATCTGTTGCCATCGAGTCGATTCTGACTCATGGTGACCCCGTGTGTTACAGAGTGGAACTGCCCTCATAGGGTTTTCTTGGCTGTGATCTTTACAGAAACAGATTGCCAAGCCTTTCTTCCTTGGCACCACTGGGTGGGTTCGAACCATCAACTTTTGGATTAGTGGTCGAGCACAAACCATTTGCACCACCCACGGACCCATGAGACCACCTTACTTACCCACACAGCGAAACGTTCTAGCTTGGGAAACAACCCCCGGACGCTGTTAATTTAATCAGCACTGTCAGCCTCTGTGAGGTCCATAAAATGGACCAAGAGGAAGGGGGGGCTGGCTGTAGGCCGTTTCACTGCTTTCCCCTCTCTGGGGGGCTGAGGACTCAGCCCTTCAGCATGGCCCCGACCCTCGCCTGCTAGGCCCTCTGCAGACGCAGAGGGCAGCTAGCTCCCAGCCAGCTTCCTGGTACGCCCCATGAGGCAGGACACAGCAAAGCCCATGTTTTTTCTGTGACTTTTAAATCTTTCTGCACATGTTGGTGGTGGTGGCCATTGACTTGTCTCCGACTCATGGCGACCCCACGTACTGCAGAGCAAAATGCTGCCTGGTCCCACAGGGTCTTCACAGTCGTTGGCATGCTTGAGTCCATGGTTGTAGCCACTGTGTATCTTGAGTTCCTTAAGCGCTCAGATACTAGCTGAAAGATTAGCAGTTTAAATCCACCTAGAGGTACCCCAGAAGACAGGCCTGGTGATCTGCTTCCAAAAGGTCTCAGCTTTGAAAACCCTATGGAGCAGTTCTGCTGTGCACACACGGGGTTGCCATGCATTGGAATTGATGCCTCGGCAACTAACAACCAGCCTAGGGAGCTCACCTTCCAGCTCGATATCGGACAGTGCTCTGTTGTGATCATAGGGTTTTCACGGACTAACTTTCAGTAGACCGCCAGGCCTTTCTTCCGTGTCTGTCTTAGTCTAGAAGCTCTGCTGAAACCTGTCCACCATGGGTGACCCTGCCGGTGTTTGAAATATGGTGGCGTAGCTTCTAGCATCACAGCAACACATAGGCCACCATGATACAACCAACAGTCCTGGTATTCAGTTACGTTTTTCTCACTGCGTTGGATGCGTTAAAAAAAAAGGAGACACTTTCTGAACTAATAGGGACTCTGTTGGGGGGTGATAACCGGCCCCCGAGACTGGCGACAAGGCCAGAGAGCCGTGTGGGCAGACTTCACTTGAGGAAGCAGGCTGTGGAGGATGCACCGGGAGGAGCCAGGGAAGGTGCTGCGTCTGCAGGTGGACATTCTGGGCACCTGGGGTATGCCGAGAACTGAGTGTCTGGGCCCTGGGAGGCCTGGGCTCAGGCACCCGGGAAGGGCACCCAGCAATGGCTACTGTAGTGGAGAGACAGCCCGGAAGTGGATGACCGAGCTGCTGGGTCAGAGCTGGGCAGGGATTGCTGGTGTGTGGTGGGAGGCCCCAGGGATGAACTTGGCACTGCCTGAGGACTAGGAGGCCACCGAGACGGAGGGGCAGCTCGCAGGCCAGCCTTCAGCAGGTGTCCTGGACGCTGGTGTGTGGTGGAGGCTGTGCGCCACGGGTGAGGTCCAGACAGCTAGGAGACAGAGGCATTCCGGGAGGGGTGGAGGGCAGCCAGGCAGAGGCAGGCAGAGTCGCAAAGCACACGACTTTCGCTTGGGACCCTCAGGCTCAGGAGTGAGGCTGGCTGGGCAGGAGCTGGGCCTGCATTGTTGCAGCCTGGCGTGGGGCGGAACCAGGAGGGGC